CTTGTAATTCTCTTACCAATAAAATATTTGTATATGTATTTATGCGTCAAAGCTATTAAAGTATATACTATGATTTTGTACAGAACTGCAGCCTTTTTCAATGCTATAAATTCTAGATAATAGTTTCCTCTGCATCTGCTTTTTGTTCACTTTGTATTAATTTACTAATATTTCCTTTAACCAATGCAACTAAACTCTAGGCTTGTGCTAGGATATGGTTCACGACAACAATCGAATGGCGGGATTCGAACCCTCCACGGCAAGATCGATAGTCCGTATCCCAAACCATTAGGCTTCTTCTTCTTCTTCGTTTCTTCATTGCTGAAGGTCTTGTTTGCCCTGATAAGCCTTTAAAGAGTCATCAACGAGCTGCCTCCATGCCGCCCTATCTTCGGCTTGTCTCAGGGCAGTTGGGATCTTGAGTCCCGGTATGGACTGAACCTGATCGGTCCATCGGGTAGGTGAACGGCTCCGTGACCTTTTGCCCTCGATCTTTCCAACCACTACTAGTTTATCCAAATTGGCCATTAGGCTATTAGCTATTAGCGCTTAAATTGGAGCTTTATTAATAAGACATTTCTCAAAAACTACTAAACTATTGTAGTTTTACGTTCGGATATATAATTAATTTGTCTACCTGATCCTGAAGTTAAATGTTTTTTTTTAAATTAGACGATGCATTAAAATAAAGATACGACGTGAAAAACACACTATTTTAGAAAGCATAGCACCTACAAAATGCATTAACGTTATTAAACCGTCTCAGCATTCTGTAGACAAATTTTTCACTAAACATAAAACATTACACTTTTGAAAATTGCAAACCTTTTATAATATTAAATTTTCGACTGCAGCTATCTTTTAATGCGGGAGCGCTTTTGATGTAAAATTTGATACATCCGTATCACATGATGACTAAATCATACTTCATACTAATATTATAAATGCGAAAGTTTAGATTATGGATAGATGGATGTTTGTTAGAGTTTATAGCCTAAACGGATTAACAGATTTCGATGAAATTTGGTATATATGTAGAGGATAGTCCGGAAGAACACATAGGCTAATCACTTTTGTTTTTTTTTAATTCCACGAGGGCGGAGTCGCGGGCGAAAGCTAGTGTAGATATATTCTAGAATTTACTACACAATGTTGCCTACTAATGTTATAAAGAGGAAAGATTTGTATTTTTGTATTTATTTATTTTTTTTTTTATAACACAAGGTGGCAAACGAGCAAGCGGCCACCTGAAACCGCCAAAATGGCGAAGCGACCGCTGCCCATAGACATCCGCAATTGCAGATGCGTTGTCTACCCTTATACGACGGAGGAGGAGACGCACATAAAGAGAATATTTCCCCTTCCTATGCATCTCCTCCACCGTCAAATCCACTTCCTCTTCCCAACCTCTCCTTAAAAGAAAAGGGTGGTAAAGAGAAAGGGACTTAAATTAGGCCTCCGGCACCACACTCATCAGACGAAACACGGAATTGCTTCCATTTCACGCCTATCTTCTGTGTGGTCGTGGTATTGCACCGGGCGTGCGGGCCATTCGTGCTAAGATGTTAAAGCGGGCACTACCACTGTCAAATTTATTGAAATAATTCAAAAACTACTGGCCCGATTTGAATGCTTTCACCATTAAAAAGTTACGTTGCCAGTTAGACATGTAACATGGGCTATATTTTTTATTATCTTTTATTTTACGAGCGAAGTCAGGACCAAAAGCTGGTTAATAAATATAATAGAATGAATAAATATATTCCGCTTACAAACATCTGCTTTTCTTTTGAAATTTCGCAAACACTATCCAGAACATCGTTAAAGATGAGACGCGTTGATTAATGGATGTCTCAACAAGCTCAGCCTTTTATTTTTAATGAACGAAGAGAAATCGTTTTACTTGTTGACTTTTAAATTTTATCTTAATATTAAAAGTAAATTTCACAGAAAAGCGAATGCTTATAAAGTTAAGTAGAATAATATAATACTTTTAGTTATTTTAATGTTCTTGCCTTTCTCCGAAATGACTTTTGGAAGTTATTATCATAATGTAAAAAAAATTAAAACCGCACACCCCTGCAGATTAAAAACATTTGATTGGCCGAAGTTTGGCTAGATAGGGTTGTCAAAACCATATTACACGTTATCGGTGTGTCACCAAAACAGTCAATAAAAAGTCTGTAGTCTGGGAAAGCCGGAGAAATTAACCGACTGTGTGCCAAAGATCAATGTTCAATATTCAACATATCATTTGTATAACGTTGCTATCAACCCCAAGGCTCTATACTCACCCCATTTAATTCGTTGTCGCCTTCATCCGTGTCGATGTAATGTTTTACATAACCTAAAACAAATCCTTCGATAGTTGGTTAAACTTAAAATGTTAAGTTTATATTGATTGGTGTTGTTGAGATAACTGTAAATATTTCAAACTCGTATTTTATATGGAGAAACATTTTTTTTTGTTATTGTAAACTGTATGTCAAACTTCAGCGTGTTTAAAGAACGAATAAGAGATGGCACTGTTTTTAACTATACATCTAATATATTGTAAACATAATAGTACATATCCCTTGAAATATAGAAAAATACACAAGATGTAATGATTCTAATTATTATCTGCAATTATAATACAAAAGATCATTTAAAATATCTGAATTTTATATTATATTTCAATAAGTTCAAACACCAATAGTTTGTATATTTATACTGTCTTTATTGTAAGAATTTATATAAAAACGTACAAACTAAAATGCATAAACTTATAGTAGTCGACAAATTTCATTTATTTTAACCTTACTTCTTCATATCTCGCAAATTTATTGTAGCGCCATCTTTTCTACATTCATACAATATTTGAACAAAACATTGTATATTATATTAAATAAATTATATATTTACTTTTTAATCACATAATCTTGTTCTGATATTTTATAGAGAGATATTTACAACGATTATATAGCTATTGGAGCGATGCCAATGTTTAATATGTTTTAAATTTACGAATACGAAGCCATACGGCTTGGTGGCTCAGCGGCCCGGGGCAAAGCCACGACCACCACTATGACATGGGATATCCATCTCATAGTGGTGGTAGTGCTTTTGCTTTTTTTTTAGTTTTTATGCAAAATTCTTCGTATAAAAAAAGATACGCCTAATCTTAATGTTTTCGCATTAATAAGGTACTAAGTAGTCCTTTTTGACAATTTTCTTAAGAGACAAGATTTTTTTTAAATAAAGTCTTTTAAAAATCAATAGAGACATATATATTAACCGATGTTTTTTGTTATGGAAGTTAAAAAAATCTGGCATTTTCTATTTGCAATTCAAATAACTCAATTATAAAATGAAAAATAATTGTAGGAATCCTCAGAACATTAAGATAAAACTTAGCAACAAGATTTTCTAAACAAAATAATATTCTAGTAAGCTTTTGCCTACGACTTCGACCGCGCGGAATTAAAAAAGGCTTAATTAATAGGCTGTGTGTTATTTCACTTTATAGCTGTTTCTAAACTTTATCATTTATGTTAGTAATCTTAGTATTAGTTGGATTATATAACAGAATAATCTACCTAAAGAAAATACAGGCTTTAACATTTTCGTAGCGCTCTAAAGATTTTAAACGTAGCACGTAAAGCGAGCTGAAAGTAAGCGGTAACCGCTAATTAGAAGAGCAAAGCTTTGCGAGGTAAAGCCGATGGGATCTTTGTAAATCAACCGGTCTTTAGTTAGCTTTCAATTGCATTGTTAAAGCAAACTGTGTATATAACTAGCACGCTGTAGCCACTAACTACATGCATATCCAGTGTTGTTAATGTCCGTAATTTCCCCCGCATCCTTATTCTTATAATCATTCTTATTTTAAACGGCACACAAACACAAAAATATTTGTTTTTCAAAAACAGAATTGAAGGACATGTAAAAAAAACACATCAACAGTTTGATTCAATACTTTTCTTCTTTTTCGTTAAAGTTTTTGTCTTTAGGTTAATTTGCAAAAAAAATTGTCCTAGCTCGTGAGGGATTTGAACCCCCGACCACTATTTGCAAATAGTCGCTCTTACCGCTAAGCTAACGAGCCGTTGATGTAGTATAATGAAAATAACATGATGTTAAACATTTTTCATTTTGTACGAAAATAAAACTAGGATTTAAATAAAAACTACCTCTACTGTTTATGTGACTTTCTTTAATGGACCTCAAACTCCAATATCCACTACATTCCGATTTTTTTTGTAGTTTTACCAATACTTATTTATAAAGAACTTAGTAGAATTTCGTAGGAAATTACAAACGTAACAGTAAGACGCCTATCTATCGTAGACGTTTTATCAAGTGAGATTGCGTCATCTTAAGGCTTGCTGCAACTACTCAGATTAACATTATTACCAAAATAAGAAATTAAAGTATCAAAACATGTTACGAATGTTTTGTGTAGAAGTAGGTCATGCATATCTGACCGGTCGCACTCAGTACGGCTTACAGTAATCCGCTTTGTACAGAACAGTTTGCAGCCTTCACAGTTCCACCGCCACTCATCCGTTTGGATTTTAGACATTTTGACAACGACACTATACAACTTTATCATTTATAGTAGCTTACGCCGTGACACTAGGGATATTAAAAAAACAAAAGTAAGTAGTTTGTGTGTTGTTCCAAACTATCCTCTATATCTATACCAAATTTCATCGAGATCCGTTTAAGCATCAAACTCTAACAAACATTTATTCATCCATCTAAACTTTCGCATTTATAACATTAGTAAGACTAAGAGAAGAGTAAAAATATTAATTAAATAAAATCTGAAACAAGAATTTACTTAGTTTATGTTCAATTATTGAGATACAATAATGTAATATGACGTAGAAAACAAGCAGCCAGTTACAAATAGGAAGGAAAAATATGTAAACCGTGACCAGTCAGAAAGTGTGATTTTTTTTTAATTTTGCCTCCATTTTATAGCAAACGAACCAACTAGAATATGGGAAGTAGAATCTAGTAGGTTACGACAGCATTAATATGTCTACAAGTTAAATAATTATAATTTAAGACACTATGCAGAAAAGCTTCAGCGAACCTTCTCTAGGAACTATCGGAACCGGGTGAGAATTTTATTGAATAAAATTCATACATAAAATGGATGAAAATTACCTCGTAACTTTTTCTTCAGGACAATTTCTTTAAATGCAAATACGGCAATAAGTCATATGAGTTTACATCAAACCAAAATGAAACTAAACAGGTTCAAGGGTAAGTTTTTATGGAATGGCCGTATCGGAGTCATAACAAGGTTTATGCTTGACCTTCCTTGGAAATTGTCATGGCAGGTATGTCCTCTTTTATATCTATAAATGTAATACAAGACTGTTGTTTACTACACACGATTAATACCAATATAATTATTTATAGATATTTACACTGGTGCTGATTATGTACAAATTTGTCATTCATCTATTGCTTGTTTATTATATGAAGAGGTCATGGTTGATATTGGAAGCTTCACTTATTATAGCTGAAGTTTTGTTTATGGTTGACGTCATCTTGCATTTGCTTCACGCCTTTTGGCCTTTAGTAAGACTCCATATGAGAGTATATAAAAGAAATTACGTCTTACTATTTTATGACGTCATATCATTAGCACCATTGTCTATTATTTGTAAGTATCCAAAAAACTTATAAACAACTAACTGCCGCAGTGACTGTACTCGTAATTAGTGACTCGGTGTAGTTTTAGTATGACAAATCTTGACTAAGGGATATTTTAACTTACAGTAACCAACTGTTTGTGCGACAGATAAGTGTTTAAGTTAAGTCCTAATTTATTTCCAGTTAAATACAACCTTAAATATAAATACTTAGCAGCAATCGGTAGTTGGTTAGGTGTTGGAAGAATTTATAGAATGTATGTTCTTTTCACAAATATCAAAGAAACTGTAAGTGTAAGTATCTAACGCATTTTCGGGTAACTTGTGTCATTTTGTTGTAGGCGTAGAACTCAGATATTTTAACAAATTAATTGGCTTCATAATTAGTCTACTTATAATCCTCAATATTACAATACCTATTTCCAATAAATAATTATAACAAGATCGTTACGATACATTTGTATTAAGATATTTAATTGACAACCACCGAGCACGTGGCCTCTTGCGCACCATATCGCGACTCAAATCGTACTGACAGTTTTTCAAGATGGCCGCCCAACCTGTGCTCGGTGTTCGTCATGGATATAGACTACCCCGACAAATACATGAAAAAAGCTAGTGTTTGTGTAGGTTTATTATTATTTTTTACTTTGTAAGTTGTATTTACTCCAATAATATGTGGTGATTAAATATTGGCTTCTTTACCTTGATAGAAGAGATATAATAGAAGATAGTTTTCCCTTTACATATTAAAATATAAACTAATGTTTTAGATGAGGAGTTTTCGTATGAAAGTATACATTATAGAGCATGTTCTATCAGTGATCTTGCTATCGCATGTAAGCACGTGCCTCTGGTACTCGATGCATTCCACACGATCAGATATGAAGGAATGGCATAAGCTAGGCTATCCCGAACATGTTAATAGAAAGAAATTGCAATTTAATAGGTGAGTATTGCTAAATAATAAATAACATACCATTGAAGTACAAAACCAAGTTCTTAACCACATTAAAGGACTTGAACCAGGGACATGTGAATGGACGGGACGATTACAAATCCAGTGCTTGCATTACCTAAAAAATAATGAAATTCAATGTTCTAATAATGATATTTGTTTCAGTTACGGGCGTTGCTGGTATTATTGCACTTGTAGATTATTTAATGTCATATTTGGCGACTCTTTTCCTCTGGTAAGGATAATAATAGTAATATAAACCAGTAGTTACAGTCTATATCATTTTTAAAGTACCTATGAGATGTAGTGGTAATTTGTTAAGAAAAAATAAAATAAAACATGATGATAATATGAGTAATTTTACAGAAATTACATATTTGCAGAGTGCGAGTGAAAAATTGCTTACATCATTTTTAATGCTTTTCGGTTGCGTTTTCCTGCGTTATCAATTCATTGGAAATCTGACATGGGAAATGGTTCTGAAACAACGACGATGGTTTACATTCGTAGATAGAGTGAGTAAAGCGCTTTGATTCATTAAAAATAATTAGCATAGTTGTGTTTATCTGTGCAACTAAGGAGAAACCTTAGGAGTATTCCCTTTTTGTCAGCATGCCGATGAAATATAAAAATACACACTTGAATTTCATATGTCGTATTTCAATAAGAATATTGCTATCTTTGTTTTGATTTTAATAAAGAGCAGGATGGCAATACTGATTCGCCATAACCTTGCCTTCCTAGTAATAGGCGTTTTTTTACAGTATCACCACATGATTAATTATTTAAAATTGCGCGGAGCCTCAACTGCCTTAACTGAACAGACAGAAAGGTACAAGACTCAGCTATGGAAAATGAAAGACGGTGTTCTGAGCTCGAATTACTTTCGCCAGTTACCGACTTCCTTACAAATGGAACTTATATTTGATATTAACGTAGGTCATTTCCATGATACAATGCTGTTTAGAGATTGTGGTAAGCCTACATTTATTAAACTTAAATACTGAAAATGTAAACCGATCTAGTAATCGTGTTTTCCGAAATAACTCCACATACTTAACCTTCGAGGTTGTCAAAATGTCTTAAATGGTTTCGAAAAAGGTTTGGTAGGCAGAAAATTACTGAACCGATTTAATAATTCTTTTAACAATCAAAATGTTATCTTTCGCCGTGATGTTAGTAGGTTTTAAAAATACTACTTACTTAACTCATTATTAAGAATAATTTTCCTTAACATTAAATTTATTGTTTCATTTCTAGATGAAGCATTCATGCGTCAAGTATCCTTACTAATGAGACACGAGATATATCTAAGTGGTCAGCAAATCTGGTGTCAAGGCGTAGTGAAAGGAGGAATGATATGGATTAAAAAGGGAGTCTTAGAGTTATTGTCTGACGAAGATGATGAAAGTCCTATGATCGCTTTTAAAGAAGGAACCGTTAGTAAATCAACTGCCATACTCATTTTGTGTGATAGATAAGTGGTTACTAAATGATTCCCTTAGTATAAATATCGTACTAAATCTACACTAAGCGACGCCCTTTGTAGCCATTTAAACATTGTGATAATGGATATAAGGTCCATATTTTTTTTTTTGGTAACCGTTGTTAACGTTTTTAGTCTGGATCTTTGTAGGTTCTAGGAGAGATATGTTTATTCTATTCTATTCCAGCGAAAGTAACTATAAAGGCTGCGACATATGTAGAATTACAGGTTAGTAAATTACTAAATTAGATTACACTTTTGTAAGTTTATGAACGTCTGTAATAAAATTATCAAACGTTTTGTTTAAGGTGCTACGACGAACGGAATTTTTAAGAACAATGAACGAAAATCCTGTTAAACTGAAAGAGATAAGGAACAAAGTTGAAAGTCGACTTTCAAGCTCAAGACGGAGACAAGTAATTTTATTTAAAATATTAAGTAACTATAAGATTTAAAAAGTTTTAACACATATGTCGTACTACCTTACAAGAAACTAAAACATTCTTACATACTTCATACATTTATCAAACTAAATAGTTCTACCTTGTAAAAAACATATTTAAAATACGTCAAGTCGGGTCCTCAAATCAATCGAATAAACTACGTGTTCATCACTCTATGGGATATGTACTAAAATTCATTTTAGGAAGCAATAACGAAATATGATAAGGGTGATTCAAGACTTATTAGAACACGCTACAGACCTATGAAGGTATTCAAAGAGCATTTATCAGGTCTAGAAGAGGAAGATTCAACATTTGTTGATGATTCACATTTATATTACAGAGGTAAATAATAGAATTGTTAATATATTTAGTAATAGAAAAATGATATTTACTGTACAATCTGATAGCGATTTTCAGAATTCAATTTAATTTAATCCCTGCTATTTGTAGATGAAAATAACGAACGACAAAGAAAGTTCACAACTGAGTACTTGGAACTTTATGAAATTTCTGATAACGTGACCACAATGGACGAACCAACAATTTGCCTTAAATCAAAATTTCCATGGATACTTGAACCTAATACTGATTTTGTACGTCAACAACGAATTTCTAATTTAATTTGTGAGATACAGGTGATTTTAGATTACAAATAATATTGTATTTTAATTTCAGACTTTAATGTTTGATATAGCTCATTTCTGTATGATCATGTATGTGTGCATAATGTCACCTTACATAGAAATTCGTAACAAAGAGAAAAGTTGGGAGAAAGTTATGAGTACAGTTGTGTTTACTGGTTTATTATTAAATATTTACATACAATTGACTACAGCTGTTGTTGATAAGGTATGCTACATTACATTGTCTAAATAATAACATTTTTTTTACTTTTAGAGTTTAAAAATGTGCTAATTACGATTACCCCACTGTTAACTTTATCAACTTGTAAGTTTTACTTCGCTAATTTTTTTCGTTCTCTTTGAGTCTTTTTGCAATCACTATATATTTATAAAGTGTAGGTACTTTTATATAGTTATTATGATTTCTTATTTTCAGAATACAATAAAGGACACAGTGAAAGACATAGCCGAAGTAAAGATGGCAACTATAGGATTTTACTTGGATATTTTGTCACTATTTCCTTTGCATATATTTACCGATACTCTTGATCCTAATAGGGAATCAATTTTAAGTCAGTTAGTGGTAATGCTACCGATTCTTCAAGTTTGGCATATTTGGAGCTACCTCTCCAAATGGGAAAATAATTTCAATGTTAGCGTCAGGGTAAGAACGTTTATTACAAAATAATTAACCTAACAAACTTTTATATGATACAAAAACTCTATTAATTATGGATTGAAAAAGGTTGTTTTGTTTTAATATTCAGCCGGGATTATAGCAATTTTCTTGCATAATGTAATAACCAATTAAAAACAAGTAAACAAATGTACAGTTCAATATTTGCATCTTTATTTCTAGTTAAGATAAGATTGTTTTTTCTTTGAATCCATACGTTGCAATGTTTTGATAAATAATAATAATTAACAATTCCTACAGTTAATCTGCTTGATAAAGTATGCTCTACTAATAACAATCTCCTGTTATTGGTCTGGATGTCTGCTCTACCTCATCGCTTGTCCTAAGAAATTGTGTATAGATGTGAGTACACTTAATATATACATATATATTTATTTTTCCTTTTCTCCTAACACTGTTGATTTAAACTCTGTCCAGAGGTCATGGATGTCTCAGTTAATCTACTGGGAGACTAAGATCTTCGTCACAAACGATGCTAAGCACGAAAAGCCTATAGTAACCGCACTCGACTTTGGGACATCAATTTTTACAGGCAGTGGAACTTCGGACTTAGCACCAGGAATAAGAGATCTCTTATTTGTACGTAGAAATTGATTTTAAAATTATACAATATAAAGGTAAAATTTAGTATGGAATTCTTTGCAATCCGAGAAGTGAAAAAAAAAACTCGACCTAAAATTTCAATAATTATAATTTCATTTCTTGTCAAAAACAAATACAATAAGAGTAAGGGTGTATTACTAATTTTTCAGGTAACTTTTTTGCTAATCGCTGGATCGTACTTGGGTTGTTTTTACATTGCCAAAGTTTGTAGCATTTATTTACTTCTTACACAACGAAAATTAAAATTCAAGGTAAGAATTATATTTTATATTTCCATTACTTTGGATTTTCACTGCTAAAACAACTGTATGGAAACATATTGTTATCTGTTCTATTGCACCTCATGCTTTTGTAAAGTTAATACGCCATAGAAGCCGACGGTTACAAGGTCTAATTGAGTGTTTATTTTTACAGGAATCAATGCGAGAATTATTTTATTTTCTAACAGTTAATCACGTGAGCAGTAAAATTAAAGCTCGGGTTAAAAAATTCTTTTGTGTACAATGGTAATTTGTTTATTTATTGTAATCTTTTACATTTTACACTTTGTTGTAATTTTACACTTTGAAGTTATTTTACATTCAGAAGGAATTTTACATTCTTTACATTTCAGGTATTACAATAACGCTGTATCATCGGATGAAATTTTCAAAGACATATCTCCGAATTTACAACAAGAAATACTATCTGTAGAAATGGTGGACACATTGCTGTGCTGTACATTATTTCAAGTATGTTTTAAAACTTATTCTCTATAATTTTTTAAACAACAAAACTATTTTTAAATAAAAATTCTATATGTTAGTTGACATGATATATAGTTATACATATTCGTAAATTTCGTAGTAAAACCACTTATCTATCTTCTAAATAATTTCCAGGAATCTAGTCATGATTTCCTACAAACAGTAGCAGCTAACATCAAAACTATTGTACTTCCTGATAACGAAATCGTACAACATGCAGGAGATATCGGCAGAGATATGTATATTTTATCAAAAGTTAGTTTTGTATTGTAAAGCCTTATGTTTGTTTTGTAATATATTCATTCATACAACTGTAAAAATATACTATATATATTGCCAAGATATGGGTTAAAAATAAATACAATTGAAGTTTTCTGTAACTAATCTAAAATTCTTATTAGGGTCATTGCAAAGTGATTAGCTACAAAGGAGTGACAGTGAACAATGGTGGGCCTGGGAGTAAGTTCGGTATATTTGAGATGCTCTATGGACTTCCAAAAGTAAGAAATTACCATCCTCTATATTTATAATTTAATAAACACTCATTACAATCGTTCTGTTAAAAAATGTAGGCTTATCGTTGAAAGTACTCTTTCAGTCGTTTTCAGATGTTACGTGATAAACTATATGTTATATTCTTTACAGAGTAATAATTATATTTTTAATTGAACAATTTGTACAGGTTTACACTGTGGTAACATCAACTAATTGCATTTTATTGCATCTCGACTATCGCACTTTGGTGCAATGCTGGAGTATCTTTCCTGACATCAGTCACATTGTTATGACGGTACAGAGTATTACATGAACAGAGAAATTATTGTCAATAATATCATGAACTTACGAATTATTATTTTTACAGGTTCTCCATGATCCTGAAATATGTGAACAAGCTAAATCTTTTGAAAATGCTAAACCATTAACTGGTAGACTTGATGCTAAAACAAATAGAATCGCAGTAAGTTTCTTTAAATATACGACTATTAATAAAATTGAAATGAAAAAAAAGTAGGTCGTAAAATTGTAATAATCAAAGACAATTAAAACTGTTACTTTACTCTTGAGTCACCACTGTCGAAACATTTGTGCAATGTATCGCTATCTTTGTTATTTAAGAAAGAAAAAAATAACGTTTTTGTACAAGTTTCTGTAGTAAGAGAAAACTCACTGCAGTGGCTTTTTCCAATACTGTTATCTTATTGCTTGTCTTGTGTTGTCTATCTAGTTGACTAAAAGTAATGTAGAGTGAAATCTAAATCGAAATAATGAACAATAAATTCGTATGCTTATTGTCAAAGATCTTTAAATTTATTTGTGTTACAGCAAGAAATCAAAGAGAGTTTCATTGTTATAAATGATCGAGAAGAGAAGACGCATTATTTAAAAGCTTTCGAACAATTAGGAGTTATGAGGTATATACACATGTAATAAATATACAGGTTCGATGTCAACTTTTTTATATCAGAATATTACATTTGAGTATTTTTTTTTAAATAAAAGGGAGCAAACGATCGACGGGAACGCCAAGGATAACTATATTAATTTTATTTATAAATAGTTTTAATGTAAATTCATGGTAATTTATTGTAATTGTATCTTTTATATTTCCAGTTTAATTCGATACATATTTCTGCCAATATGTATCACGCCGCACGGAATATTTTTAAAGTTTTGGTGCACTTTACGTTTGGTTGTTGCCATCTACTATATTTTAGTTGTTCCTTATAACATTTCTGTAAGTGTTATTCGATTGTTTATATATTTTAGAATTTCGTAATTATTTATTAAAGATATTTTTTAGACAAAACAACATAAATATGGCAACAGCTACATATGGTCGGATATGTTTTTGTACATCGACATAATCGTAATGGCCTATGTCGCGTACTATGATGACCGTTACTTGTTAGTTACACATCCTTTGTTGACGGTAACACGGTATCTGAAGCATGCTTTCGTCTTGGATATTATTAGCATATTTCCCTTCGAACAATTGGTAAGGATTTCCCTAAAAACCGTGTCAAAAATGTTATTGTTTTTTTAAATGCATCTTCTATTTACAGTCAAGTATTATAAACGAACATTCCGATACAGACCTCTATAGATTGAATCGCATATTACTGGTGAGTTTAATACTGCTCCTCATATCGTTTAATGATAACTAAGTTCAGGGAGACTAGTGCGAAAATTTTCGAAAAAGTATTCGTAACGTCATTGACTGGATTTTCAGGAGATTTATTTATTACTTCGCGTAGATTTCTTATATAAACTTTCAATGTTGGTACATATACTCTCTCGTAAATTTTCGTGCTAACCCATTTCATCATACATACATAATGATAATATTTTGTTTTACTCAGGTAACACGAATATTGGGTGCATTTTCGTATTGGGAAAATGATATAATGAGAATAAATCAGGCTGTTGTGTTGTTCAAATTCTTGCCTCTTGTTGCGACTGTGGTCAACTCTGCTACTGCGTTTATATTTATTAGTGCCTGTCAGCCGTTCCTTCCTCCAGACTCGTATTACGTCTTAGTCAATTGTTCGAGAACCTTCGTTATTTCTGGCAATACATATGAGATTAAATGTAAGTATAGAAGACACCCTTCTTTAGAAGTACGACGTTTTTAATACAGTAAAAATAATTGTTTCTATCATGTTAACGAAAACATTTAATATTTTTCTTTATAGATGCAATAACGGAATACATTCATACTTTTTATTGGGTGTTCGAATTATTTGTTGGTAAATAATTTATCTTTACTTCTAACAGTTTATCTGTACAATATTATAGTAGGAAAAAATCTTATTGTAATGTTATGTATGTCTATAAATTTATTGTTTTATATAAAATGTGCAATTATCAGTAGAATATCTGAAACAGGTTGCGGGTGCACACCAATTGTACTATCGAATAAAGCGGACGTTTGGTTAACTATGATACTACAAATAAGTGGAGCTCTTTACTTCGCATTTATGTTTGGATATATAGCATCCACACAATCGACTGCATCCCATGCATTGCTGGAACACACAGTAAGTACTTTAAAGTCCTTCTTACTCTTATGTATACTCAACATATTTTTTATTACATTTTTCATTAGAATTTTTGAATATGGTAATTATTTTAAATGTATTTTAACAACTTATTTTAGGAACAGACAAGCGATTTAGCCGATTTCCTTTACCAGCAAAATGTCGACCCGACAATCACTATGAAAACACTAAAATATTTCGAATACGTTTGGAAAAGAACCAACGGAAGTAATGCACAGGTGAAGCTTCAAATAAAATATGAGGATGTTTTTCGCGTTAATTTGAACATATGTAATTTGATCCCTTTTTAACTCTTCTTATACATTTAATAGCAAATATGTCGTGGACTTAACTCTGCATTAATGGAAGACACGTTAGTGTTTATGTACGAGAGAGCATTACGAGAGGTGCCTCTGTTCGGTAGAGTCGAACGATCCTTTATCAGAGTCATCACGCAACATTTACACGAAATGTACTTCCTTAAAGGAGACACTGTGATTCAATGCAAAGATGTTCAGAATGATATCTTTATTATTTACAGAGGAAAGGTATAGATTATCTTCTATCTTTAAGATGTTATACAAAGTTAATCTGATAGCATTAGAGTATTTGATTTTAATTGGAACAAGTTTTTACTTCTAATTTACATAGCTTATTGCTACATCGGTTATATGTTATTTTACATTACAATGGTGTGATTTTTCAGGTTGATGTGTTAAGTACGTACAACGAAATGATTACTTGTATGGGACCCGGTGGTATGTTTGGGAATTTTACTGGGGTAAATATATGCACTTCGCTAACTATAACAAAACAATCGCTAGGCTCGTTACATTTTTCGACAAACTACTATTTTTGTATTCATAAGCATCGCTGTGACGTCATTGGACTAAAGTCTCTTGTTATTGTAGGCGAGTGATTTGTTTTTTTATTTAATTTACAATATTGTTATAGCATTTTGTTTATTATAGCAATCGACATCGTGCTCAGAAGTGGCTATTTACGCAAGTAGAAGCTTAGACTTGTTGGTGTTGCCAAGTCAAACATTTTTCAATTTAGTTAAATATTATCCGAAAATACAAGAACCATTGCGAAAGGCGTTTGAAGTGTCAAAAGATTACATTCTACCAATATCGATGGATATTTCCAGCGACGATGAGTCTACAGGTATTTAAAATAAAACGGATACCCGTAAATGTTTCGCTAATACAAATCGTAAGAAAAAAGTATATTCAAATGGTTTTAGTAATACTAACTTCTAATGTTCTAATGCTAAATAACTTTATTCTAGAAGATTCCGACTTTGATTTGCAATCTCAAGATTCAGCTATCGATTCTAGAAGTGGTTCCAGCCGATTTGAAGTGCCAGGTAAGGTTTCTTTGATAATAAGTGTGCTTCAAACTAGCCTCGTCAACGTCATATATGGCCTTTCCCTCACGAAACTAGTATATGTTAATTTTCTGCTCTAAGATAGTAGTTAAGTATTCAAAGACATTTAAGAAATGTATAGAGTAGGCATAGTCGATAAAATTCACCGGTACTCACTTTAAAAGTTACCATGTTAGTTGTCAAGTATTAGTACGACACCTCGTGTCGTTGTATTGACATGTAATAAAAAAAGCTCCACATTTTTTAATAAAATGAACTAAACAGTATCACAAAATAAAGTATAAACGTTTATATATTAGTTAATGACACCTATTTGCAATTAATTAAAATATTGGCATGAGGTTTTGAGGATCTATCAATAGCTATCATGTGAAAAATATCTAAAGTAAAGTGTTGCCTACTCTATGCATTTTTGAATCTCATTGTAAATATTTTTATATGTTTTCCTTTAGTTGGACAAATATCAGTGCGAAGTTCTCATTCGAATATTAGTCAGTCTAAATCAGCAGCGAGTGTTATAAGCTATCAGAGTTATATGCGTTTGTCAAATTTGTTCAGACCTGGCACATTACTGTTTCAAGTAAGTCAAATTTCTTTAAATATTCGTAAGTTGATCTCCAGTTGATTATTTTTTTATTATAGGCATTTGGATATCTAACATGTATAGTAGCCACAGCCAACTACGTACTAATTCTATACGAACTCGTCACACTGAATGATTGCTACATCATATTTTGGGTTCAATCAGCATTCGATATATATTTTTACTTGAAGATCTACACATATATGCATCAGGTATTATCTTTGTATATGTTCTAAACATTTTCATTTATTGAAAACTACCTGTTGCTCGTGACGTCATCTCCGTGGAATTAAAAAAAAACAGTAAATATGCCTATGTTACTACTAACTTAGCTTTTTTAATGGTGATGACGTTATTGAAATCGGCCCAGTACTTTTTGAGTTATTTCAATACATTTAAAAATAGATATCTTTCCTCTTTATAATATTACTATAGATTATTTTATTATAAAGGAATGTTAAGACTATTTTGATAAAACGTCTTTAAAATAATTAAGAATAACTCAATACTAATATTAACTTAACAACAAAAATGATCTACGATTGAATTAAATAAATAGAAATATCTGAATATAACATTGAGTATGAAAGGCCTGCATATAATAATGTTAATTATCCTTAGGGCTACCTCAATAAACATGGAGAGTTAATATTGAGTCACTCTAAATGCCGTCGCAGATATTTTAAACACAAGCTGTGGGTGTGGACAGACATTATTGCCAATTTCCCGCTGGAGCTTTTCGGATTTTGTTTTTCGTAAGGATACAAATACATTTCTAGTCATTTATTTTTCGATATTCTGGTTTCTAACGATTTAATTATTGTTTATATCAATTACAGAAATCCAATAAAAGCAATGCACTACCTACGTGGAACTAAATTATTAAGACTGAAACATATCTATGACTTTTATTGCAAGACTGCCGCTGAACTAACAAATAATCTAACAACATTACAAGTATTTAGAGCGGGCGCATCCCTTTGACTAAACTATCGCACAACTGTTGCGCGATTGTCGGTTGTTTTGCAGCTAATTAAACTGATTAGTTTCTCAACTAAAAATCGAGTAGCTTGCTTACATACACATAAGCTCATAGGATTCGAAGCCAGACTATATAGTTGTGCGATAGTTTAGTTTCAGGTGTGCGTACGCTTTCTTACAAAATTCTATGGTTAAAATACAGTATTAGATATACCATCTATTCGAATTTGAATCTTAATGTTATGTTTTCACAGTCGATGACCACAATTTTCTTGGTGGTACTATTCATTCATACATTTACATGTATCTGGCTGGTTACACTAATCGCAACAGCACCTTATCAATTCATCAGGACTTTAAAAATGCATCTCATCGACGAGTGAGTAAAATTAAGAGCAGGCGCACAACTTTGACTAAACTATCGCATAACTGTTGTGCGATTGTCGATTTTAAATTGAGTAGTGTGCGAATAGTGCGACTAAATAGTTGTGCGATAGTTTAGTTTGAGGTGTGCACGCGCTCTAAGAAACTCCAAACAAAGTTTGATGTATGGATATTTTTAAACAAGTATTAAGAATTTATCCTTATAGGGACACACCACAACAGCGATGGGACTACATGACATCTCTATACTTGGTGATATCTGAACTAACTGGAACCGGTGGCGATGAGATTCACATTGGCGATATATTCCCAATGGCGATATTAGTGATCTGTCTGATTTGTGGGAAAATGTTAGCGGCTATAGTTGTCGCCACTTCGATACAAATCGCCCATTCAACTAAATATGCCTTGAACAGTTACGAAATTAAAACTGAAGAGTTAATCGATCTGCTGAAGAATCAAGGTTTATCGGGTAAGAAATCTAGTTTCAATACTTCATTGTCGTTCGTGTAAATAAGCGTGAATTGGGGTCTTAGCACGAAAGTTGCACACGGCACAAATGTCATAAACATTGTAGATGTCGATAATAATATTTTTTTCACAAATTTTCGTGCTAGGCTCTCATTTTCCTACAATCTAACTTTACCTTTCAATGTATAAAGCAGAAATACAAAGTAGTTATCGCGAAAATTATATGAGTATTTTAGGTTTATAGAACTAGCTTTCGCCCGCGACTCTGTTCGCGTGGAATTAAAATAAAACAAAAGTGAGTAGCCCATGTATTCTTTCAGACTATCCTCTACATCTATACTAAATTTCATCGAGATCCGTTCAGCCATTTAGACTACAAACTCTAACAAACATCCATCCGTACATTTATCCATCCATCCATCTAAACTTTCGCATTTTTAATATTAGTAAGAAGTAAGATATAAGTTGGTGTTAAAAAAAAACTTTGTATTTAAATATTCCAGATTATCAATTAAAAAAGTTTTGGAAATACGTCCGACAACTTTGGGTCAGCGAACGCGGTCGTCAGGTATTTAATTCTATTTTTTTTACTTTTACCAAATTAATAGGTTTTTTAATAAACCAAAGTTCTGTTGAAATGTGTTCTCAGTCATGAAGTATCTAAAATATTAACTTAAAAGTCTTGTTTATCTTATTATTTCTAACAACAGTTACCAAATTTAATGGAAAAAACTCCATACGTGTTACGCTGCGACCTTATGACCGCTATGTTCGGTCACCATTTGAGGAACTGTTATCTGTTCGCTGAAACCGGGGAGCCATTTTTACGTCAGTTGACCGCAGCATTGAATTATACGGTTTTCTTTCCCGGTAAGTTCACACAGATTAAGTACGGGTAGTATACCTTTGATTTCATTTAAAGAACTAGTTGTTGCCCGCGACTTCATAAGCGTGGTATTAGAAAACATAACTATGTAAATAACAAAAAGTTGCGTATACCTCTAGAACCGGATATTTTTCGGGGATAAATCTTATCCCATGTGTACTCCAGACTTTGTTTTATTTCTGTGCCAAATTTCAATAAGATATGTTGAACCGTTGCAGAATGATCGGGTAAACATTAAAAAACCAAATGAATGAATCCCACGGGAACCGTAACTATTCCCGGGATAAACAGTAGCCTATGTGTTCTTCCAGACTATGCTCTAAAATTGTGCCAATTTTCATAGATATCCGTTCAGCCATTTAGGCTACAAACGCTAAAAAACATCCATCCATCGTAACTTTCGAATTTATAATATTTATATTATATAAATATGATTGCCGATATTCATATTTTAATATTTGACAAAGGTAACTACATAGTGGTAGCAGGAGATAGTGAGGCTTGCATGTTCTGGGTGGCCTCAGGCTCGGTATCCGTGGTTTCGGTGCGAGCTGACTTAACGGAGACCACACACGAGACGCTTAACGCCGGCGACGCGTTTGGCATGCTGCAAGGGTTAAACCGTGGCGTATCGCATTACTTCTCCTATAGAGCGGATACTAAGGTAATACTGGGATAAGAACTATGTGTTCTTGTTTAACGCACGTTAATGTTGGTATTTGGTTTCAGGTGGGTATTTTATCTTTGAGCCTAGACTCCTGGATCAACATAGTCCCTTACTTTCCTTCTGCACAGAAAATTATATCCGAGAGATCAGAAGTTCTATTTGCCCAGATTTAAATGTTTTAATGAATAGTAATTAATTTTACGTATTTCGTGTTTATTTAATGTAATGATTAAAAGGAAAAAAACTGTGTTTTTTTTTCTTGAGATAACTATTGGTAGTCACATAATTAATTATTTAATTCCAATAAAAGGGAAAGAACACTCATATAATACAGTCTAGAAAGATGCACTTCTTGCTGTAAAAAAGGTTACTTGTCTGCCTTATCTTATTGTTCTTAAAAAGCTGCTGATAAACAAATATCAAATGTTTTATGCTTACTCTATCCCTATCCGGGTTACCATCAATGTCAAAGTATCTTATACTTCAAACTTATTTATAAATTTCGTACTATACACCATCACGTTACCAAAAAAATTGGATTTGGGAACATATTTATTAACAGAAACACATAAATAATTACAATAAAATATACACAAAGTAAACAGCTATATTGATTTAAAAATATCCATAGAATTTACACGAAATCTGTCTCCATCGGCGTCATGCTAATTTAAAAAAATAGTAAAATTAAACAACAAAAACACACAAATAAAGAAATCAATCACAAAACGGTATATGGAGGTTCGTTCTATCTTCCTTTGTATTTAGAGCTGGCTAACGCCTGCAAAGTGAAGAATTGTTTTAATGCACTGAATATCTTCGCGTAGTACTTAGCGGAGCTTACAGATGTGTCTGATTTAATTTTTCTGCACTTTACTTTTCTGCCGCCTGAAATGCGCAATTCAAAATTGCATACAGTAAAAAAAATGAAATAAAAAAAATAAACACGTACATGTCGGTCATGCGAGAGATCGATATTTACATGTTCTTACCATCTCGTATCTCATCTCTTCGTTGATCCGCTCGTACAGGTCCGCTGGGATATCGTTCTCCGTTACGTCTTGAAGCACATAGTTCAGCTGCGACGTTCTAAAAGAAAATTCATTTACAAATTATAAAACATATTAAATTCAAATAGAAAGTCTTCACACCACACACATGAGTTTCGATTAAGCATAGAACTGATTCTTATTAAAAATGATAAGCGGAACTGATTGTGTCTGAACTTACTGTATATAAATAAGCATGTATGCACTCGTAGCACGTCTCGCCAAGTAAGGCGCATCCTCTTTGCCTCCAAAGTTATACTCTATCGCTTCTTTTTTTCTGCAGCGTGACACAACGTCATCGTCGAACTTACACCACTGAAAAAGTCATAATTTATTATCACTATTATGTTTATTAATATTTTTATACAAAAGACTCGAGAGGGTTCTCCTATAGTTTAAACATAACCAATATTGAGATTATTATTATTACTATTATCAGGTATTCTTCCAATCGTATTCTCCTGATTGTAATATGGATATAGTCAGTCGTAGTTACAATGTACCTTTCCATCGCCTTTTGGATTAATGAAGACAACATAATGACCGCCGTGGTTATCGCCGGAATGCACCAACACTGCATGTAATGTGTAATGTGCCGGCACTGGGGGGATCTCCTGGAGGTACGGATCCAAATTTATCTCTTCGTAAAATTCAAACCTAAAAAAACATAGATTAAAAAAATGATATCTATTGACACAATATTCCAAAAACCCTTACAATACCTGTCATTGAATTTGACAGAAGCATCGCTTTGTGGGTCGTACTGGAACCTCATTAGATGTAGATGCAGTACAGGTGGGAACTCGTCAAAACGGACGCCCTTCTCCGCCTCTTGGAGGCCGTGTTCTCCCGCGTCGTATTTGTTCTCACCATCCAATGTCTCTGTACTTATATAGTCTTTGAAGGATTCATACACTAAAAGAGATATTTATGCCATAAATATTATATCTATAGGAGTCACAAGTGTCTAAATTCTAATTGGATCTGGAATCAGCTAACATTGGTCTACAATTTAGACGTTTGAACTGTAGTTTTGTAGTAAAAAATGAGTACACCTTTTCATTTTTTTCAGGTGAATGTAGTTTAGTGTCTACGTAATGTAAAGCTATTTTGTTTTAATTCCTGAATACATACTAACAATTATTTTTTCCCTTCACACTTAGCTGAATGTCATAGAACGTCTCCACTCGAGTGCTACTGCAATTAACGTTTTTGCACTTAATGAAAGACGTCATTTTCCCCTCGAACAGCTTTGGAACCGTGCCTTCTACTAAAGTACCTTTCATTTTATTCTCTAACTTATCTAATAATACCTGAAAATATTCAAATTTTACTTTATCACAGAGGTTTATTTCGAAAAAGTATTTTCAAAAATAAAAAACGTAAGTATCAACTAAGAATTAAACTCATTTTATAGACAAGTAAATAATATTCGAAAAACATACGCCAATAACGATTTCCTTATCGGAATTTCATTATTTAGTCAGTAAATTGAAATATTGTTTATATTCTTTTCTACAATGTCATCGTGGTAATGTCATTTTTTTAATTAACTTTTGATATTCGATTTCCTTGAACAACTATCAAAACTCATCATTAAAAATACTCACTCGAAGAAATTCCTGAACGTCGTGTTGCATAAAAGAATCTAACGTCTCCCAACCAAAGCTCTTTGTCAATTTCTTAGTTGCGACTGGCTTCTCAGAAAATTGCAAGTCAAAGAAAACGCGTTGCAGAGCAAAGGCGACAGATCTAGAGCTATCGTCTCCGACAGTCGGTATTTTATAAACTGCCTTGCGTAACACATTAGTAAAAAACAGAGTTTGCAAGAGCGAATTCATGTAGCACGTCGCACCTTGGTTCTTAAGACCTGGAATATACTTGTTTATATTATGTTTACGTATTGCTATAAAACATTAAAAATAACCAAGATTTTTTGAGTATAACTAGAGATATATTTTATCCTCATACCGACATATCCAGTGTGTTTTTTTGAATCCCAAGACACGCCGTGCGGGGCCTCCGCTACCACATGTGCCTCTATTGTTATCGCGTCATCCTTTACGAAACCATTTTCCATATCCAAAAGGTCTTTCCATGATATAAAATGTGTGAATCCCCAATCATCTTCCTTACTACACACAATTTTAACAAAATAAAATTAATATAATCAAACAAAAATATCGCTTCTCGAATTACAACAAACTAAAGTAAGTATCCAATGTGTTCTTCCAGACTATCCTCTACATCTATGACAAATTTCATCGGAATCCATTCGGTAGTAAAGGTTAAAACTCTAACATCCATCCATCCGTCTAAATTTCCGCATTTTTAATATTAAGTAAGATTAGCTAAAAGTTTAATAGAGGAAACAGAAGTCCAGGTATGTGGATACTGGTTTACAGATAAATAAATAAATAAAAAGGACTTTCATACCATAACTAAACACCAATGGTTACCTGTGATACATATGATGAACTTTCCTACACAGATGTTGGCCATCAGGCTTGTAAGATAGGAGTTTAATTTCGCCTAAACCATAGCAGGACCAGCCGGGAGCGTCGCAGTCGCCATTACACTGCAGAAAGATACCTAAGCCCTTTTGTTGCTGACGGTCAGGGGTGGTTGTGTTACGCACAAGGACTAAAATCTTCCACGGCAGACATCGGATATAGCACGGTGGTGATAGAACCTGTTCCTTCAGTTGACTGACGTTCTGTACTGTGAACCGGAACGTAGCTTCAGGCCGGGCGATGTCATCCTCGTCGTTTATTACGTCCTGGAATTAACCAATCATGAACGCAGAAGAAACTCGACCATAATGGAATATGCAGGAAGTCTCTATGTACTTGTCTTAAAGAAAATTGGAACTACTCAGTTGTTTTGAAATGAGGCCTTGACAATATTAGCTTAGCATCAACCATAAATTCATAATTCACAATTTCAAAATAAGTCGCCCAGCAAACAAGATGATGGGTGATAGGAATCACAAATTCTGTCAAAACGTCTTATAGTTTGTAAAATTTACCGACGATGCACCAATCGGCTTTAAAAATGTACAAAACTTTCTTACCGTGGTCAAAGGAATTAAATCAGTCGTCGTATTTTCAGGAGTACTTGTTTCAATCATTATAAAGTCACAAATTCTGACAAATTTGACAATAAATCATTTAGAAACCAATTCCACTAATTCGTCCAGTCTTAACGTTACAGTAATATTATTGTGTAGATAATTTTAAACTTTAATAGCAATAATTATTATAAATATTTAACTATGATTAAATGATTTATTTGTATGTAAAGGTCATAATGGTTGTTATCAAATAAAAAACACAAATTTTGTAGAGTTTAGGCCGATGACATGTGTCATTTTCATTATTTTAAGACGTAACGACTTTTCGAAATTTAAAAAGAAATTATTAGGTTTTAGTTAGCTTGAATAAAAACGATAAGTAATACAAACTTTTTGGATTTACTCCAGAACTGGATTTTGTTAAAGGAATCTTTTAATTAACATATCTAATATAGCTTCTAACATTGATTCGCAATGCGGATAAACTATTCGGTTTTATCTATTTATAAAGTATGTATATTAGTTTTAAAATTAATGAAGACACCACTGATCCTCCGGCAACATTGTGTCAAATAAAATAGACCATCCGACGGCCGCGCTTAATTAAATTTTATAACAGGCCTTGTAATTAAAATGTCGACGGAGAATATCAATCTATCGTGAGATTGTAAGAAGACGACGATCACATTTAATCATACTCCAGTTTGTTAACAAAAGAAAGTGTCATATTTTATTTTTCGAAATAGGGCAGCATTTTATCAAACTAACGTTCTTTAAAAGGAAATTAGTGTCTTTATTTACAACAGTACGTAAAGACGTTTATCTAAATGTGGTCAAAATTATTTGTTAAATGATGAACATGTCATAAAGATGACTGTTTTACGTTCCATTCACATTACTGTTTACGATTATTCAAACCTCAAATACATACAGTACTCTATAATTTAACGGTAAATAGATGAAAGGTAGGAACATAGAAAGAATGTTATTAACTTAATAAAAGCGCCACAAGTTCTGATATTTAAAAAGTTTTAAATTAACACCGTAATTAACTCTCTAACAGATCATAGCATAGGATCTGGTAAACTGCTGCAGTCACTACACAGCATATTGTCAGTTATAATCAAAGTTGATGAAATGTCATCATTAAAGAAGCAAGCTCGGCTAATTAGAAGTTTTTGCCTCGCGGCGGGGATTATGGCCGGCGAGACTGGCGGTAATTGCTCGTCTGCTCCTCGGTCTCCCTGCCCTTAATCAGTTTTAGCCTCGTCGCCGGCTACTTTTCCTAAATTAACAATACCTACCCATATAGATAGACGTCTTTAATCTATTATTTAAGACTCACGAAAGGTATAGTTCACAGAATGTTGCTTTTTGTAATTTAATATCTGGATTTGTTTATAAGTTGTAGTACAAAGGTATGTTTAATTTTTGTCTCCAATGTATTTAGCTAAAGCCCAGTGCGGTGTCCCGATGGATTTCTTTATAAATTACTGGAGTTTAAGTCATAATCTTCTGCCATAAACATCCACATTTACTGAATTTCGTAAACTATGCTCTCGATTATCACCAAGGACACTAACTGCAGGACAAAAAATCGTTAGTCACTAAATGAGGAAAGTTCATTGCGGATTACTCTTACCGCATTAAGGGAGATAGCTTAAAGACTCTGAGTGCGTCACTAAGAAAGGCTTCGATCCTTCACATCGATGAAATATCTTCGTTAATTAACGTAAAGCTTGGCTATTAATTAGGTTTTTTGCGTGACGGAGGGGATTACAGTCTCGCAGTCCGTCGCAGCTCGTCGGAGTCTGTCGGTAATTGCTCCTCTATCAGGCCGGGCTTAATCAGTTTAATCCAATCTCGTAAATTCATTGGATTCTACGGCTATGTATCTTAAACGCTTTTTTGTATTCACTGAAATGGCTAATTATGGAACTTAGTCACTGTAATATCTTAAATGTGACGAAATTCAATTCAATTTAGTAAACTTGACTCAATAATATAGTGTAGAATGTTATGTTAAACTAAATTAAAATAAGATGAATAAAAATACAAACCTTCCAATGCCTAATTGATAAAACTTCTCGAACTTTGCAGTCGTTACTAAAGTTTGATTTTAAAAACGCTAACAAACTAATTAAATCAAAAATAATTAGCGTAACTTGCGACTTGAACATACCGTTAATTAATCCAGAAACATTGCTCCTAATTAGAAGAGTTACAATACGGATTGTAGGGATTGATAATTAAAATGTTGTTAAAACTTTATCCGTTTATTCTACAGAGCTGGTAAACAAAACATTACAATATTTATTATACACGTGCCTGGAACTGACCCATTTTTAACATAAACAATGATTTGACATTAACGTAAGTAACTTCAACTACTTTAAGTAAGACGACCATATTTAAAATGTTTGTTTTTTAAATACTTCATTTTTTTTCTATTCTGTTACGTTGTGTGTTGTGAATTTCTATAATCGAAGCGATATCGGAAATATGTAATTTCATCTTATTACAAAAATTATACGAACAGAAACCGCATTGTTTTACGTAACTAAATGAACGTTAGTAATCCGATTAGCATTCGAACATACTCGTACCAAGCCGATAATACGAGTATCGGCTACTCAACGACATATCTAACCGTTCTACTGCGTACGCGAGCAATGGTAATTTAACAGTATCTTTGACGTGTTACGATGAGATTAACAAACTCTCCCATTTATCTTTTCTTTATATGATAAATACAATTTAGACTAAAATACTATTCCCATTGTTGTTTCATGCAAAATGTTTACACCAAAGATATTTAAGAAGTATACAGACTAGACATAGTGAACAACATTTTTTCACTGGTACTTTTTCTGTACGGGTACAATCTGAATGTCAAAGATACGCCGAGGCGTTTCTCAGTGTTAGAATTATTTGTTTCTGTATGATTTTGAATATCGAACACCATGTAGCGCTAAATTATTTGAAAAATGTTTTAAATGAAGTCAACTATGCCTACTCTATATATGTTTTGAATCTCTTTGGTTTCCACATAAAACATTTATGTGTGTTGTAAAATGTTTAGTGTTACGAGTTTCGCAAGAAAATCAAACATGTAAATTGTTATAAAAATGTATTTCCATGCACATTGTATAGTTTTCGTGTTAGTTGTTGTTTATGTGACTGGAAAAATGGTGTATAACTTTACTTTAACTTCAGCTATCACACGACCGCACACGATACCGAAAACAACGAAATTTATGAAAAGACGTAACATGGATTCAATTTTATTTAAAGCAGCGCCACAAATTGAACTACCTGCTATAGATAGACGAAAAATATGTTAGTTGTCAGTTAAAATATTACATATATTCTTCATTTCACCATAATTTTAATTTCTAATTAATTTCTATCTCTATATATAGCACCTGACGAAATTTGGAACTGGGACTATTGGTGTAAATTGCAATTTAAAACAGGAAAATGTTTCAATTTTACAACAAGGTAATTAATTATGGTTTCAATAGATTTAAATGAAAGTAGAAATTTAAAACACGAAGAAATGACTAGTCTTATAACTCGACTCAATATAAAATTCATAAATTAAGTAATTTAAAAAAAAAACAGTATTTGATGCGAACATCTGTTGCTATCCTATTTTTGTATGTTTTTAGATATTATTACGACATCCAAATAGACCAGTGCGTTAACTTTACGTACAGCGGATGTGACGGCAACAAAAATAACTTTAATTCCGCGGAAATATGCGAACAACATTGTCATGGTGAGTTCACGACTTCTCTCTCACACTCGTATAACAGTAGTACACCATTGTAAGATTTGCAACATTCATGGTAGAAAAAAACTATTTTAACGCTGTTATTTTTAGGAACTACATATTTATCAATAAAGGAAGAAACTCCAAATTATTGTGCTTTGCAACAGGACGCCGGTATCTGTTTGGCTTTGGTTAGAATGTGAGTAATAACACGAAAATTACTTTGATAATCATGAAACTGTATACAGCGCCATCTGTTATAACATTCATGATGGACAATGGTTTTACTTCAACGCTATTTCATGAGCTATATCCAGTTGCTTTTTTTTTCACTTCACATACCTCTCATTATAATCCATTCAGTCGTTTCTAGGGACTATAATGGACACTTACATACAGACGTTAAAACTTGTAACAAATATTTGTTCTCAAATCTCTTATCCTCTTTGAAAAATACATTCCCGCGTTGAAAATTCAATTTTATAACTCACTATATATTTTCAGGTACTACTACGATATAAACAAAGACGATTGTAGGATATTCCATTACGGAGGCTGTGGAGGAAATCGTAACAGATTTAATACTAAATTAAACTGTTTGAATGATTGCAAAGAACTTAAATGAAAAAAAAAGATTTATTTAATATTTATAACACTAATATTTTTAAAAACTTAAACCACTTAAGATTTAACTAAAACTTAAAATCAAATGGACATTCGTTTGAGAATAGATATTGTGTTCAGACTTTTGATTTTACCGTGGTAATCTCGAGCTGCAATAAAAACATATCTTTATTCCAATAAACACTGAGATTACAATATTTTATTGGAAATTAATGTTGTCAATGGATGTTACCGTTTTATTTCCTTTGCTCATTGTGTCTGGACATCCTTTATCGTCAAGTAAACAAAACATCAACCGCTAAAAGTCCTAGAATAGAGAGCATTCAACCTTTGGAGAGTCGTTAGTCGTAATGTGCTTTGGGCATTCGAGAATTTCAATACTTGAACACATTCGTCCGTCGCCTGGAACTTCCAACAGCAGTTGTAAATGCAAACAGAAATCACTAGCTCGACGCTATCGTAAATGTGTTTATGGTAATACTCTGTGATTGCAGTATGAAAATGTCTGATTTGTGCTGAACTTTTAAATTATCTTGTATTCGGAACCATTTCGACGCATTATCAAAGAAGTGGTGATTACTATCTCAACATCAGAGGTGAAAACAACCAGTTTTACATTTTAATGGATAAAGAATGCTTGTGAAATACATAATTTTACAAAGTACTTTATTTTCCTATGTGAACTTAATCACAACTTAATTAATAAAATGACATTGTTTTGTTTACGTTATACAAGCTTCCAACACAAAGCTATTTGTTCGAAGCTTTAGACAACAAAAGCTTTGCACGACACACTCATACTAGTCAGCTACGTATGAAAGAAAATAAACTTAATTTACAACATTATGTTAAAAAACACGCACATTAACTTAAAATATATAAAAACATTTAAAGTGGACAAACCTTAATAATTTCCTATAATTAATCAAGTATACTAAGTACAACATACTTTTTTTAGACTATTATACTCTTCGATACATTTGAACCGACGACAATCCATTCTGAATAATTTGTTTGAAATACATAAGCGTTTTCTGAAGTTGATTAACCTTATATTTGCGGTCTTACTGTAATTGAATTCATACTGAATTGTGTAATACTAGTAATACGTGTACAGTCGTGGAAAGTAACGGTGTTCCACTTTAAAATCTACAATCTTTTGAACATTTTGAAACAAGATGTTGCTTATAGATATATATGTACGAAAAAAGTCGGTTAGTGATATACGGCTAGCTTCTTTTTATTATTATACCTTTGTTTGCACCACTCATTACTAATTACTTCTTTGCAGGAAGAGGCAGAGTTTATCTTATAATTGTTGCAAAGGACAAGTATTTTTTTCCTTAAGTGGAACACCACTGATGTCCGCGACTGTACGTCTAAGTTTGTAAGCACCCTATAGATACTCTTTGTAAGAGACATCACGTTGTCTGTCTGTATTTGCGTTAGTTTTAGATCTCCAGATGAAATTACTTTTACGGTATTCTCCGAGGAAATTAAATCTCGCGTTCTCATTAAATTATAAAATCTCTAGAGATAAGAAGTACACTATATAAAATCAAGTATATTTAATAAAAGAAACTGTTTGAGGGTAAATTTCAAAGACATGCTTTTTTATTGTAATGGCATTAAACTGCAACATAAGATGAGATTTAAATCCAACATTTGATGAGTAATTATGTTAAAGATAACATTGTATAGAGTTACATTTAATCTTTTTTTATATTAACTATGATAAGTCGCGTATGGAGGCGAGGACAGCCGAACACTTTTTTCTCAATGCAGTTTAGGGCACTTTTGACCCTTTTAACTTCCTTGTGGATAAAGATAGAGGGATGAAATTTTGAACATCAATTGTCATACCATAATTTATTATTTTTTTTTATAAGATAACGTGGCAAACGAGCAAGGGGCCACCTGAATCGGCCAAAATGACTAAGCGACTGCTGCCCTGATATTTGCCCTTCCTATGCATCTCCTCCTCCGTCAAATCCACTTCCCCCTCCCATCCTCTCCTTAAAAGAAGAGGGTGGTTAAGAGAAAGGGACTTAAATTAGGCCTCCGTCACCACACTCATCAGACGAAACACGGAATTGCTTCCATTTCACGCCTGTCTTCTGTGTGGTTGTGGTATTACACCAGGCGTGCCGGCCCAATTGTGCGATGTTGTTAAAGCGGGCACTACCACTGTAGAATTATAATATACCTAGTAATTTCCAAATTATAGCTAGTTAAATTCTTTACTGCTCTCCATAAATGCGTTGAGAATCATAGTTTTACGGAGCTGGAAAAATTTATTTTGAATAATGATATAGTTTTTAAAGTGTAAAACGCAGAACATGTGCTTTATTTATAGGTACGGTAATAACGGCTCGTTAGCTTAGCGGTTAGAGCATCCATCACAGAATGGTAGTCGGGGGTTCAAATCCCTCACGAGCTATTAACCATTATGTAATTTTTCTTTTGTTAAAAAACATTATTCAAATAACTTTACTTTTCTTAAAAAAACAAAGACCATTTTGCATAGATTCATGTTTTTATCGTCACATGGAATACTTTACCAGCGGTCTATTTATTCATTAAATAACCAACGTTTGTGTAAATCACAATAAAATTAAATGTAGAATCTAAGTGTTATCACTTTTACAGTTATTTTGGTGGATAACTACAATAAATCGTAAAATAACAGTAAGTATATTTCATGGAAGTGATGATCATGAACTTGATTAGAGGTTCAGAGTTCGTTTTAATATTTACCATTGTTATAAAGAGGAAAGATTGGTATTTTTGTATGTATTGAAATAACTCAAAAACTGAACCGATTTCAAAAATTCTTACACCGTTTAAAGGCTACGTTATCAGTGAGTAACACAGGGTATTTTTTTTGTTTTATCCATAATATTTTTTCTCAAAAAACCACGAAAGACCAATCTTTAAAAAAAAGTTTACATTATCTCGTGAGGGAATTGAACCCCCGACCACCATATTAGAATGGATTGTCTGACCGCTAAGCTAATGAGTCGATACTCTGCAGCGTAAAAGCCTTCAATATATTTGTACTTTTTGCATTTACGTACATATAGCACGATTTAATTCTAACAAGTAAGAAGAAACAACATAGCAACAAAAAAGAATCTCCTTTCTTGCTACGCAAAGCAGACTCTAGCAATCGTAAATCGTAGCTACAGCGCTACACTTCTACAGCGTCCTTGAGGGTTACAAACTTTATAGAAGAAAGGAAAATTGTATATCGTTCAAATTACAATAATTTAAGAAAAAATTACCATCTTAATTAAAAAAAAGTTCTGTGTTAAAATTATGTGTCAATAACTTTTGACAGATTTAATGAAAAGCCTTAATAATACTGAAACTGAAATGAGCGCCATCTGTAGTTACATGCATATTTCAGGATGGTTCAGGGGTAAAACATTTCTAATGCAAAAAAGTTATTTTAATTTTGTCAGAGTATTAGGTAGTAAACTGGAAAAGAGTTCACTGAAAGGGCGAAGAATTGTTTCTATTATATCGTTTTAAAATAATAAAATTAAGAATAAGTTCTTATTTTACATGTACGCTAGTAACGGCTCGTTAGCTTAGCGGTTAGAGCGTCCATCTTTGAATGGTAGTCGGGGGTTCAAATCCCTCACGAGCTATATATTCATTTTTTTTTTTCATAAAATAAAATAATATGCAAAGCAGAGCTTATTTTTACGTCACTAGTAGAATATTATAGAAGCGATGTCCATATTTCCTAACTGACCAACATTTTTGGAAATCAGAGAAACTAAGTTAAATTTTGAATTTAACTATAATTTTTCATCATATACAATTGTTTTAGAGTTTTTTAAACTTGAATTGGGTTTTCTATCTTGTTTTGTTGTTAATTTTATTGGTTATTGGTTAATCTATATTTTTGAAAAATGCGAGTTAGTAACGACCATCACAATTCACTTGAAAGCGATGAAATGTTTTTATCATACAGTTTCAAACGTGTTAAAACTAGAATATGGTCCCACTTTACATGTATGAATGTAACGGCTCGTTAGCTTAGCGGTTAGAGCGTCCATCTTTGAATGGTAGTCGGGGGTTCAAATCCCTCACGAGCTATATATGTCTTTATTATTTTTTTCTTTTCTTAACAATATCCAAGATAACCTTTATTTTTACGTTATTAGTAGAATACTATAGAAGCGGTCTCCACACTTAAATGACGAACATTTGTGGAAATCAGAAAAATTCAATTAATTTTTCTATCTAACTCGAATTTTTAATCACATGCAATTGTTTTTCGAGTCGTTTGAACTTTAACATGAGTTTTCTATCTTTCCAGTTGGATACGGGCATCAAAACAAATAAGTCAGTTTTAAGTAAAACCCTTAAAAAGTTCTTTCATAACATTAAAATTAAAACGAGCGCCATCTGTAGATACACTCATATTTTAGGGATGTTTTAGGGTTAAATATTCCTTTTTATTTTTAACGAAAAGAACGGCTTACTCTATTTTAACTATATTATGTGGAAAACTGGCAAATGGCATCGAGAATTCATTGAAATAACGAAAAAATGTCTTTTTTGTATACATTATAAAAGGTAAACACAAGAATAAGCTCTTACTTTACAACTACGAATGTAACGGCTCGTTAGCTTAGCGGTTAGAGCGTCCATCTTTGAATGGTAGTCGGGGGTTCAAATCCCTCACGAGCTATCTTTTACATTTTTTCTTTTCATAGAAATAAAATAATATGCAAAGCGTCATTTATTTTTCGTTACTAGTGGACTAGTGATCTCCTTGCTTATTAAATAACCAACGTTTGTGTAAATCAGGACTATTAAGTTAAAATTTAAATCTAACTCAAATTTTTATCATATGCAAATGTTTTTGAATAACCTTGTCTGAAGTTGAACTTGTATTTTCTATCTTTTTTGTTGGATACAAACATAAAAACAAATCAGTAAATTTTACATTAAAGCGTAATTACGAGAGGTTCTCGACAAACAACG